TCTCCCACTCAAGTTCAAGGCACACTGGGAATATGTATTAAGGGTTCGCACTTTGAACTAGAGAGGCAGAAAATTATGTTGTTGGCCCATCTGGGATCTCAAAGCACGAGATTCTAAGAAGTTTACTTCAGGATTGTTACACTGTGGAATAATACCCCTCAAAAGCTCCCTGGTTCTTCCTGGAAGTTCCCAATGTGTGCTGCAGGTGCCGCAGGCCTGGGGCATCAATCATACACATTTTCAGGCTGGCCCCCTATTGGATAAAGTACACGATGCAATAATAGCTATGGCAGGTGAAGGAGTTTGTTTCCATCCCACGGATCTGCTTTTGAGCTACATTAAACTCACAATATCTAAATATAAGCGGATATTGTCTAAATATCTTCTTACCTGTTCCCTGATCGCAGTGCTCTGGCGCAGACCTGATCCCCCATTCTTCCAAACCTAGCTAGAAAGAGTTGAGGATATATGTTAGCATGAAGAGAGCACTGCTGTACTGCGGGCTGCCCTTTCCCGATTGAGATAGGCTTGGCAGTATTAGATATGTACTCATGAAGACACAGCTGTTTGTTCGGAGGGGGATGGGGCCGACCTGGCGCCTGATCCAGGACTCACCTCAAACACTTAAATACAAGATACATACTTACTTAAAATACTTAAATACAAGATACATACTTTGCAAGATCTTTCATTCCCTCCTCTCCATTCATGTCCCTCCATATCCTTCCCACCTTTTATATAGGTCCTGCAAGCTACACACCATGTCACGGTGTAGAGGCCAAAGCTGTTTACTCTCAAATGTATGCTCAAAATTAAAGTGCGTATGGATTCCTGTTTCTGTCTCGCTTTTATAAGTGTAATCACTGTGGAGCCAACATTCATTTCTATTCCCTCATAGAAATCCAAAAATAAAGAGATTTGAGAATTGAAGAAAACAAACCATTAGAATTGTCACGATACCTGCCGCAGCACCATGCAATCACGGAAGTAACGTCACTGCACACAAGACGTTCCCCACTTGTACTCAGATTCTTTGTGCCTCATTCTGATGTCATTTATGACATGGACCCTTTCTTTTGTCTCCTTCTATATTGTCAGTCTATGTGAACATTTTTGATGATGTGTACACACTTTTGACATCATAGTTCTCTGTAACCAATCACAACCCAAGATAGAGAATATATACTTACTGGTTTTTATTTTCCCAAGAGTGTGTTCCAATAGCTATTAATTTTCTGGTATCTGACCCTTTCTTGCTTGACATTTCCTTTATGCTATTATCTTGACCTTTGTTGTATTCTTGTTATTCCGATTTATTGGTGCCCTTTGATCTCAGCTTGTCTTCATTTATTCCTAGTCTCCTTGCACACATATTCTCTATCTGTCAGAAGTGTCAGCTCAGACACTCTAAGGATTGGTACAAGCTTCTATCCTGTTTACAGCTGGGGGTTTTAAGGGCTAGGTATCACACAGCTACAGTACAACCCAACAGGCATACCATCAATACATAACATTACATTCTGTATTAAACTATAGGTGGACCATACAGGTAAACATCCAGATATAGAAAAGGGAATTTTTCCTTGTCCCGTTATATGATATGCAGAGTTGCACAAAAGAAGGAAGACATACTAACGAGTATTAAAAAAGAATTAAATGACACAGTATATTCTTGTTGAGACACGTAGGACATAAAGAATCCAAGGTCTTTATCCAAAAAGCTTCCTTTTGTAGCAATAATCTGGACCTGTCATCACCTATTTCAAGTGAGTGGGGCATTCAGATTAATTGCATCGAATTTAAGAGTTGGAAGTCTGTGTTGAAATTCCAAAAAGTATTTTACCATAGTTTTACTTTAGGGCCACCATTCCTATGACCTTCCATTCAACAAGTGATCAAATCACTAATGCCATTAATGCCATTGATAACACTCCAGTTCCATTTGTTTCTGCACCGCCTTAAATAGCATACAAAAGGTATAGAAATGTCAAGGATTTATTTGTGAATGCAAATGCACCATGGAGTATTCTGGCTACAAGAATGGCTGTCGGAAAGGGGATGCTTTAAATGGCCTGGAGGTGTTATTTGATGACACTTGCTCACTGGGGTCACAGGTCAGCCACGATGACTATGTTTAGAAATGTTAAAATGTATATGCCTGTGGCAAACTTTTGTTTGAAATTTCAAAACAAACTCCAACTCTTAAATTCATTGCATTTTATTGATCTGATTCCTTCACTTGAAAGATATAGAGTAATAGCATTACCACTATGGTGGGTAAATGTAGGTTGAATTGCACTCACAAAAGTAACTGAGTATAAAGGTACCCAAATGAATAGCTGCAAATTCCCTTTGATGAACTCCTTTCGGCTCAGATCTTCTTGATAATAATAGGTGCCAAGGTTGAAAACAAACAACTAAAATAATAAAAGACTGATGTACTCCATTGCAGAAGAAAAAATATCCCACCTCTGAAACTCCATACTGAAAAAAAGAAAGAAAGCTAGTAGTGATGAGAAAATTATGAAGAAAATGATTAATTTAATAATGTAAATCAGAATTAAATTGATACAAGAGAGAATAAATACTCATTACAACAGAAAAAATGGTAGGGAAAATATTTACAGAAATACAGAAATAAATAGGAGTCTAATACATTTGTTTCTGGACCTTAATTACTTATATTTGGGAAGGCTAGCTAAAAGACAGATTAATGTTTTTTTGTCTGTCTGGAAATATTAAAGTTGACTCCTTGATGAAGAGATGAAACAAGATTGTTTCAAGTTCATTCAAGTTCATTCCAATTCATCAAAGTTCATTCAATCAAGTGGGTTTATACTTCAGTTTAAGAGGTCTGAGAATTCCAACTCCTTTTAGCAAATGACAAACAAGAACATGTATACCAATAAGAGCTCCATATAAACCAGATAGGTCTGTTTATAAAGCAATCTATAAAGTTTGCTGTTTCTGAAAACGTTTCCTTCCTCAAACTAAGAAGTGAAGAAAAGATGAAAAACATTTAAATGAATTGCAGAACAGATGTAAAAACCACAACATTTTGAGTCTATGTTCTAAACAGGTTACATCTCTGCTATCACTGGATATGGTTTAATTCAGACCTTGAGACCAATCTTCATGTAAAACATCTTCTGCTGAATCTTCGGGATCCGTTCTCCAGCTGAAGAACTGTGTTGTGTGTTCAGTCTCTTGACAAACTGATCCTTATGAATCAGGCTCCATGGGTTCACGATTTAAGGCCAGTAATTGTGGACTATCCAAACTGCTATGGTATTGGACAAACCTGGAAAATATACAGCTTGCACATATATATTACAGTCTAAGCCAAACTACCAAAATACCTGGGCTAAGTTGATAAAGGCTTTGAATTTGTACCTCCTAAATGATTTCGGTCTTGCCAAAACTATGCTTAATTGATTTTGTGAAACACCATGGAGTCGAAGTGAAGATGAAAGGACATCAACTAAATTGCCACTTTGCTTCTTTCCAAATAAAGTACAGGAAATATTGAAATCCAACTGTTGTGGACTACATCCTCCTAATGCTTTGTAAATGTTTGTAATGTAAAACCATTATGGTAGAATTAATCCACAACAATTGGAGTGCCAAACGTTTCCTACCCTTGGTCTAGAACAGGGGTTGGCAACCTTCGACATTCCAGATGTTGTGGACTAAAGCTGCAATAAAGCTCTTCCAGCCATTATACTGGCAAAGCATCATGGGATATGTAGTCTAAAACAACTGGAGTGCTGAAAGTTGTCTACCTCTGGTCTAGAACCTTGTAACTGATGATTTAAAGGCATTTTTCTTAACTTCCCAGCCCTGTTTGTTCAGGTACTGAATTACTTATAGAGGTTTTCTCTATCAAGAATTCAAGCTGCTGAAGAACAGGAGACAGAGCTAAAAGGCACTGGATACTGAACTTTCATGTTAAACTGTTACCTTTAGGTAAAGGGTTTATCCCGTAAAGGTACGCCAGTGCGAGGAACCTTCTGGCACCATAAGAACTTCATTTAAATGAAGTTGTTATGGTGCCAATAGTGTTCCTTTAAATGAAGAACTAGCATTATTTTCTAGCTCCATGGACTATACCTCTCCCATTTCTATGGGGAGTGTACATCATCTTCATGCTGAGACGTGCCACTAGAGTAAGCAATGCCTTATCTAAGAAAATGAAGGGTTTGCATTGCTGAGACTGCAAGAACAGTCTCTTTGCAACAAAACTAGTACATCTAGGTACTAACCTTGCATGGATATCATCTTGCAGTCAGGGGCGAGGAATTGCCTGATAAATGTGTGTAAATCACCAGCTGCACATTTATCAGAGCTTTTAACAGAGCACAATGAATTGAGCACCAGGAGTCATACAGAAAATGGACTTTGACTTAATTTAGTTGCTCATTTAATAAAAAAAACATTTGAGGGAGGATATGAAAATAATGAGAGGAGAGATTGTGGGAACTAAATAAAATAGCGTGAGTACTAACCGTGAAGCGCAAATACTATTAAAAAAAAATAAGTTAAAGCGATAAGGGAAAAGGAACACAAAGGAGGAGAAGGGCAATCTATCATCGGGTTAGTATAAAAGATGGACAAACATAAATAATGAACACATAGGGTAAGACAGGATGGAGGAAATATATTATTGTATAGCTTGTAATGCAGCTTTCAGAAACATTTTCCTTTGGGGGAGAAATAGGTTTTTATTTGATTGAAAAAACACAGAGAGAAAGCGTCCAACCAAAGCGATAAAAAAAGCCACAAAGCAATAGATTCCTTATAAGATTTTTTAAATGGCATTTGTGAAGTCATATTGATTTTAGACCTATGAACTTTATATATTGTGCTACCATTCGGTGTATGAGTGTTCTGGGAAACTACAGAGGGAAGCAGATGAAAGGAAGAGAGAGAATAAGATCTGAAGAAAGAGTGGCATTTGAGCAGGCAATAGAGCAAGGTCATCTCTGGAGGAAAATGAGAGACAGAAGCCAAGGGGGTGGGGGGTGGGGGTGAATTGAAAAAGAGAAAGATAGTTAGGAGAAAAGGACTGTATATAGGATGAGTATGGAGGCAGTTAGAAGAATACAGTACATGTAAACGACAGCAACAAAGTAACAAGAGATTAATGTGTTTTCGACTGACTCCAGGAAAGTGATGTGATATGGCAGATATAGAAATTGGATAGGGTGATCATATGAAGACATTGATTAGAAAACAAAATAAGGAGTCTGAGGACAGAAAAGGGGGGTGCAAATAGGCTTATTTAATAATTGTTGGGGTACACGGGTAAAACAAGATATCCAGGAATTAAAACACTTAACAGATGGAGAGGTGGGAAAATTTCAGAGCAGGAAGAGTGAGTGACACAGTGGAGAAATATAATAATTAAACAAGTGCAAAATAGAGGGAATAATGTCATATTAATGGAAAGAATGGCAGAGGGGGGGTGCCACGAGTCAAAGAAGGGGGCAGAAAGAAAGAGTTAAGAAAGAGAAGAAGGTGAAAAGGGGAGGGAAGAAGGCAGGCTCAGAAAGAGAGAGAAGGAGAGAGGAGGGGGGTAGGAGGAGGGACGGGAGATGAGATGTTTGCTCCCTGCCTCAGCATTCTGACAATGCCTTGAAATATCTTACTTTTGATCAGTTTATTTCTGGGCTGAGAATCACACACAGGCACACACACGGCAGCTATGGACAGAGCTGGGAGGTCTGACAGTTAGACAGCTCTCTGCACAGACACCCACATTACTCCACATTTTCAATAAGCTCTGCAGGGGGCTCTCATTCTTCCTTGGGATTGTGTGTGTGTGTGTAATTTCATCCTGACGACTCCATGGAGAAAGTCCAAGGAGAGAACGACACGGAGAGGTGGGATAGGCTGGAAGAGATTACGGAGAGCGAGAGAGGTATTATCAAGGAGACCTGGGCACGCGTGTACGCCAACAGTGAGGACATCGGGGTGGCTATCCTGATCAGGTAATTCCAGGCAAACCAATGAAGCTCTGCGATCTCGTTCTGCCAGTGGAACACTCACATGCACGCACACACACAAAAAGGTTCCCTCATTCAATCTGCCAGTGTCAAGCATACAGAAGAGCAGCCTCAATCTGTCATTAAATCAGGGTGAGGGAGGGAGGCTCCCACAGCTTGACAAGCTCATTCACATAGGAATGGGAATACTGTAGCCTGTGACAAGCTCAGGTAGACCGTATTCACCAGTTTCCCACAGTCCATTTACAACTGGGGGGGCAGAGGGGGGAGAGAATTTTTTTGTCATGCTGACAGTGTCTACCTAACTCTGTACCTGTTTAACTCATTCGTAAGTAACACTTCTATAATTTTAGGAGCAATGATTCTATATCTATCAATTTTACACATATAGAAGTACAGGCTCATTTAGCTTTTCAGTATCATGTTGGGCAATTGTTTTTATACATTTTCTTTTTTCTTTGCCATACGCTTTTTCCACCAGAATATTAAGTAAAGTTAAGGAGGAAAATAATTCCGTAGGTTTAAGTGCTACCGCTTTGATAATATTGTTAAGCCTATGGAATATGTTGGCGCTATATAAATATCAGTAATATTAATAATAATAATAATGTGGTGAATAATTTATGGTCAGGGAAAGGCTTTAGCATTATAATTTTACAAAAACCACCAGGGAACTAAATCTTTGACCACTGACTGATGTGTTTATGTTAAATATGCTATTTTCTTCTTCTCCTCTGTCTAAAACTTGGCATGATAGAAAGCAAGAGAGGCTTCTGGGAAAAGACCGTGCTACTCTGTGAATGTTCAAAGGTGTAGGGACTGAGCGAGGACAAAACGTCTTCTGTTCTTTAACGCTTGCACTGTTGACTAATTGCATGCGAAGCTGCTAGGACAACTTGTGTACTCAGTCAGAGACTGGGGAGAAACATGAGAACCGGGGGAAACACAACAGGAAAATAAAAAGAAAGGGAGGTGGAATAGCACAGAAGCAAGCTCATTGAAAGACTGGAAAGGCAATGACAGTACTAAAGAGTTACACGTAACAGAGGGACACTCTCATCGCATCAATGTCACATTCACATTGGAGCGCACACAGAGGCGATCCTTAAAAATGTAACAATGACCAATTCCCAAGTCTGTTCAGATCTCATAGCAGACGTAGGCAGCCTTCGGCACTCCAGATGATGAGGACAACATCTCCCATGATGCTTTGCCATCATTATGGCTATAATAACACTCTGGGAGATGTAGTCCAAAACATCTGGAGTGTCTAAGGTTTGCCTACCCCTGTCATAGTGTGTCTGTAATACATAGGAGCAACTGTATAAATGGCTAATAATAGTTCGACCTGGTAATTTGTAATCTGTGGGTTATATGTCAAATTTCACCTGAGGACAAAGTGATGGTCTAAAGGTGACACTAGAGTAGAAATACCAAATCTGGTCAGTCTATCTTAGATGCTTCTGATAAACACCCTGAAATGCAAACTTAAAGTACCGGTATATTTTTTAGTCTGATGTTTTTGATTGTCACCCCCAAATGACAGCACATAGTGATAGTCATAAGAGTGGAAGCATATATTCTACAACCACATACTTAAAAAAAAGTTTTGCACAAACCTCTCTCACAAAACAGGAAATTGCTTAGTCAAGCAAATTTTTATGTTTTCTGTATAACCGCAGTTTTAAGTACCGGCTGTTAATGTTTTACACACAAATTGGGAACAGACTACTCCAAGACTTTTTAACCTTTTTTTCACAGGGAGTCAAATTAAATTCATGACATTCTTAAACATTAAATTTACATCAACTGACCCCTTCCACAACTGCATCAACAATAACAAAATGAGTTCAGTGATACACTTTCTTTACACTTTTCCCAGTGTTAACGATGTTTCCATTGTATTTAGAAAGGCAGTGATTCTACAGTAACCAATCTACTGTGTGTAGTTACCTGGACCTGATGAATATGATGTGTTTGTTCTGACAGCAGGACATACTGAAATAGAACAGGAGTTCATTTTAGATCAAGACCCACTGGACTACACCATTTTCTCTCTCTCGCATAAAGCTTACACTCATTCATATGTCCATAAACCTAGCTATATAAACACCTGTGGGATTATGTACTGAGATATTAGTACGAAATAGCTGAATTTAAAAAGAAATCTCCAAATCTTCTGTTTTTTCAAACATGGCTTTTTTTGTTTACAATTTGCTATTTTCTACTCAATCTTCTACAATTATTGGCTTAATGAATAATCTCTTTAGTCTGTTAAAATGCAGCAAATAACTGTATTATCTAAAGCCACACATTAAATATTAGGACTAAGTGCATCAACATATGATGTCAACCCACAACTGGGACACCTAAATCCAGAAGACTCAGTGTGTTGTCTACAGTGACATTCATACACACTAACGCTCCTCCTGTTCTCATGCAGGTGCCTTTCCTCTATTTATATCACAGACACTTTGCCGTGTACCCTACAGGCAATGACATACATAAGGACAAATATTATAATGTGAAAGGCTATGTGGATATCGTATAATATGATATGCCTTACCCTTTTCACATATCATGCATACACTTATTCACATATGTTTAGATGAAACACACATAAAACAGACACGTACTCGCACACAAACATAAATACTCTAATCTAATCTACAAGCATCCCAGACTGAATAACTGGATTGCCTTTGATCTCTGAGCTTCACACTCTAAAATTAAATGTTACACAGTGACAAGGACCCTCTACTGGGTTTATTGAGGCTGATTCATTCTTTAATTAAGCCCAATTGGATTTTTTTTCCAACTCTGCCACAGTAGCTTAATTTTGCCAATCAAATCTTAATAACTGAATGTTACCTAAATGATGCAAGCTGATTTTACTACAGCACATTTATAGGAAAGGGGTATATTTAGTTTATCTGTATCAAAGTGATGGATATTATGTGTAAAATTCTAAATTTCACAGGCATAGCGTGGAAGGCCTTGCTTTGACATTATCACACTCAATCAATAAACTGTGGATTGTCAGGAATTAACAAGGGGACTGCACATAGTAGGCCAAAATAGCCTTGTTGCGAAAAATAGCTTTTTTGGAAAAATGATCAATTCAACTCTTTTGGCCTATAATATTTAATACCCTGGTCAATTCCTGACTACTTTAAGTTTAATGACTGATCTTACAGCAGTTTCTTTTATTATCTCTGAATCATACAGAGGAACATGTTTTGTACGTAAGACTAATGCACACAGCAATCACTCTACTCTCAGTGATTCTGTATTTTTTTACATTCGTAGTCCTTTTGTTGAGTACTATAGCAGTCTGTCAAAGTCACTCAAGCAGAAATACCAGATAAATACCAGTACAGTTATACAGCCATTCCCATACATAAATGAAGAGGGCTACTTACGCCATTTCTAGAGTCACACATAAACACAAATGGGCACACGTTACTCTGTCGGATAGATTACGGGTTCTGTGGGGTTTCACCACATTTGATGTGGTATTTTGGGCAAATGTTGAAAACACCCTTAACCCCTTAAGGACACATGACATGTCTGACATGTCATGATTCCCTTTTATTCCAGAAGTTTGGTCCTTAAGGGGTTAACAAGAGTACTGTTTATTTGGCTTTGGATATCCAGATTCTGAAGGGCAGTATATTTAAGATTTTACAGCAGCTGAAAGTAGAATATTCAATTATACATGCCACAAACCTAAAAAAGGTTCCAAAACGTAGACAGCATGGCAAAATATATGTTAGAGATTCTTAAAATCCTCTAAGGTAGCAAGCTGCTTCCGGGTCGGTGCCAAGTTCCCTGCTTTTGTTAGCAGATGAGTGAGCAGAACTGTTTAGGACGAGTATAGAACAATGACAGGACTGTTTTAAAATAGCCACATTTTTTGTCACATGTCCCACAAAAAGGATGCAGCATGTAGTGAGGGGGGGGATGCAGAGGAGCACATACACAAATCGGAACCTAGTCAATAGCTGTCCCCTGTTTAACCACTGTTTCTATACCTTTCTACACCCCTCCTTCCTTCCATACCTGTTCCCTCTTTCTACATGTCCCCTTCTCTCTCTCTCTCCCTCCATCTTCCTCCCCTTCTTTAGCTGCCTCCTGCTGCTTTCCTGGCATCTCCTGGACCATTTGTGAATTAGCCGAGGGCGGAAGTTATAATTACATAGTTAATTAGCGTATGCTCATTAAATTGGAATTACATGCTGACTGTGAAGGGACAGGCCCTGCCACAGCGTGTATGTATTAATATATAATGTGTTTATATAACATATATACTTGTGGGTATTCATGCAATTAATTTATCACAGGCCCCTCTGGACATAAAGTGGTTAACCCTTTCACCATCACTTCACCAACACAGCTCTAACCACCTTATGGCTGCTCCTATAGCATATCTTCTTGCGAAATCACACCCACAATGCATCATGGAATGAACCAGGCCCCTATTCCCAGTTATTGAACATGTAATTCAGACTGCAGTGCAAATATTGATGTACTATATAAAATGTGCTATCTTCAACTTGTGTAATAAGTCACCCAAATGGTATATATTCTGTAGACATCTTTTAGCAAGGCAGCAATGTAGCATCCATTGGATGTATATAAACAAACATGCATATATGTGTAACACAAACACATTGAAAATGCAAACATAACTGGGTATCATTTTGGAGAGAATATATTTTTTTTATTTCTTTTTATCTATACGTTATTAATTTCACATTATACATTTTTTGACCTTCGTGTAATTCATGTAAGAAGTTAAAATATGGAGAATTGAAACAGCAATGCCCACAGCTTTACAGCCTCCTCGTGATGCAGTGCATCTCACAACTTTTAGCATTTACCCACACACTAATGTGGTTATTCATACAAGACCGGATTTTGTTTAGTTGGATGAAATCCAGTGAAAATGACTGAATTCCGACCATACTGGCAATTCTCATATTTACTAAAGCCAAATGCTGTCGTAATTCGATTGCTAATCTGCAGCAATCACCTGGATGTATTCGGTGTCTGATTTAAAATTGGTGCCTTTGCAGCCAAATCCTATACAAAGTATAGGATTTGGAATATTCACAAAGTACCTGAATATGGTATGCCTCCTGCAGGATGTACATTCGCAATTTATCGCTCACTTGCTGTTTTACAAGTGATTATAATTTTAATAACTATTCGCAGCTATGAAATAATAACAGAATAGCACTGGTTGAGGGACATTAAAAAAATAAGGGGGGGTGGCCTGCTTGTGAACCGACCGTCCACTCCAGAACCATCCATTGGTTACGTGTGGGGCAATAATTATATTATTAAAGAGGGGACATAGTGTAATCACCAGAATTCCTCAGATTGGCAGCATTTGAGGGCCCTAATTATAATATTCAGGCAAGAGCACTTAGTGTCACACTCAAGCCCCCACCCATAAGTGGAGGTAGGATGCTGTAAATAATTAAACAATAGGGGTGAATATTCAGAGCCTGAATTGCAAAGTCCGGACATTGTGATATTGCATAACATTTGAACTTCAGTGAATAACCCCATAACAATTGTGTAATATCTTGTAAGTGTTTGGAAGGCTTTGCATAGTGCTCAGAAACTCATGTTGGCGCATGTTTGGACAGGTATAGACAGATAGTTTGTAAGTAAAACTTCCAGAGTGGTAGGCAAGTGGCTAGGCGTTAGGTGCCAGGGGGGGCCATGGTTTTTGCCAAAGCAATATAATTCTCCTTGTACCATTGCGACTGAAATGAGTTGTAGTAGTTTTGAGGTACCTTTAATTGTCTTTTACTGGGATTTCTTCAGTTTTTATAACCGTGCAAGTTTTATGTTAAAAACACTTTTATAAGTCTCTTCATCTTTCCAGAAGGACTCATAACGCCTATAGCAAATTGGAGTGGTTATGGTTTTATGAAAGCCACCCTTCAGTATTAAGTGAAACTGCTTTGGAGTGCGTTCCCTAAGACTCATGGCTCCGCCTCTATGTACCTTATGAATAATGCCGAAAAATACAATTCTGTATTATCCATACAAACTTGCCCAACCTTGCACTGAAGAAAGGGCTGGAGCAATTACCACAGAAACCAACAAGATGTTAATGCTGATTGCTCCCCTTTTAGTACTTGCTCTTTACATTATAGGCCACAGTTTTCTTTCCTGCATTAAGGATGCATTCAGAAGATTTTCATCTCAATTTAAAATGCAATACAAAGAAGTTGAGATATAATGATAAAAGTAAAATAAGAAAACAGATTAAAAAAAATGATGAATTTTACTCTTTTTCAGGCAAATATGACAACAAACAGACATGTTTATTCGTTGCATAGTGAATCACAGTGAATTGAAAACAGACTTTCAAAATTCTCACTAAAATAGCTAGGTTGTGATTAAAGGTAATTCACTTCAATTCATTCAAATTCACAATTTAATAAATAAACTCTTTCCATGAAATTGCAGTGAAAATGCACAATAAGCCAAAATAGTTAAATGTTGAGGAACATGCTACTGGTTTCTATGGTGATTGTTCCAAATTTAGCACTTTCCCTCAGAATGGCACCTCAATAAATATCCTCTTTAATCAGCTATATTTTCTGTTTGGTTATTTTTATGTTACAAAGATAAAAGGGGCGGAATAACTGAGCCAATGAAAGAATCCAGGTTTGACCAAATTAACATTGGTAATGCGGAATGTAAATTGTTCATTTGTAATGCGACCAGCAAGGACGTAGTCTCCAGAAAACCCATTTTATGGCAAACTGTTACTAGATGTTTTGATCTTAAACTATTCGATAACAGCACAACACTCCATCGACATAACCATTATATTGGTTGTACTTCTCCGGTTGCTTTACAATTACAATTCCCTGGTGAATACCTGACAATTTAGTGAATTTGTTTTTTAAATCACAGTTTAGTAAAATGCCTTGACGTGGCTCCTAGCAAATTGCAAATTTACTAATATATTTCATCCACTTAATTATTGAAAATAAATCTCAAGTGAGATCAGAATTAGACCAAAATATAATTCATATAAAATGGTCTTGAAATAAATCATAAAATGATTTCTGAACAATTCCCGAATAAATAATTTAGAGTAGGATCCAGCGTATCGCTAAGAAGTGTGAGGTTATAAACAACAGTGAATGAGCATAAGCTTGTTTACCTGCATTTTGGCCTATCCCATGTTGTGGGATTGGGAAAAAACTTTAAACACCTATCAACTAGATCAAAGGTAGGCAACCTTTGGCACTTCAGATGTTGTGGACTACATCTCCTAAATTGCTCTTACAGCCATAATACTGACAAAGCATCATGGGAGGTGTAGTTCAAAACATCTAGAGTGCAGAAGGTACACACAGTAGATCCCTAAATACACTTCTACACACACACACACACACACACACACAATTTCCTATACACACTATGGGTCCTTTACACACTAGATCCCCTACACACACACACACACACACACACTGCACCACCTACACACACTACATTCCTAATATACAAACTCTGGATCCCCTGTGTACACACTACATTCCTTGTAAGCAAACACATACTACTTTCTCAAAACACACACTCTCTACAACCCCTAAGTCACCTACACACACACACACGCTACAGCCTGCATGCACACACTCGCTACATCCCCTATGCACACTAGGCCTCCTATACACAAACTCTCTACAGCCCCTAGCCACACATATTACACCACAAACAAGAATGAAATCGACCTATTTACACAATACCACACCACAATCAGCTAACTCTACACACACGCAATCCAAGAAGCAGGCTCCAAACACATGCATGATATGCTTTTCTGGCCTTTTTGTCCTCTGGTATCCCACTTATGGAGACACCAGAGACAAGTTAAGTGCAAACACAGTGCAAACATATTATTAAATTTGCTTGCACTGCGCAGAACAAATACAGGGCTTTTTTCTCATGCTAGAGCTTTTCAGCGGTGCTCTGCGCATTGAACCAACATGCTCACTTTGAGAGGGGGCGTGCTTGTCATTAGTAATGACAAAACACACCCTCTCTGCCCCCCCCTCACCCCATCTCAGGGGGCCGCTGTGATTGAAAAATGCCCGGGCTGAATTTATTTCCCAGTCCGGCCCTGCTCCTAACCACCCAGAAGTCACCCAAGTGGCTGTTTACAGTGTAGTTTTCCCTGCAAGATAATTATTGCAGTTTATAAAAATTGCAATAATTACAATTGCAGGATTAAGGGGCCTGGGACACTGTACCCATACCACTTCAGTGAGCTGATATCCACATCCCAAGGGCAGATGGGAACGACTAAGACAAAAAGTAGCAAACCAGTGCCTTCCCTCCACTCCCGAGCTCATCTAACATGCTGTGAAATGGACTTTTAAATAAAAATGACATCCAGTTATAAGCATAAGTTAGTTACTGGATTCTTTTTAATTCTATACGCAATGCATGAAATGGTGTGAATTACATTATGGACCAGTAAGACCCACTTATTACCTTATAATTAACAATGCCAAAATGCCCACCGCACATCTTTTTTTCAAATGAATGCCCAGTCCTTCTGGTGCCGACTCTTAATAATGGTACCAGAGGGATGTACAGTGAAATAATGATCAAATAATGCTAAACACCTCCTAGGAGGACCAAGGGCATCACCAGCCCTATTAATATAAAACAGAATTCATTTAAAAATGATTATTATGAGATGCTGCTGAAGGTAAAAATCTAACTAAAGTAGGTATGCCTTTGAAATTTTCATCTCATTTAAGTAAGATGCATTGAGGACATGTGCAGCACGTGTAACAAGCACCATGAACTGCCAATGGAGTACTTCTCTACAAGAAGCAGTGAATCAGAATATCAGTATCAGAATACTTTGCATGCTAATGCCAGGCAACGAATTGATTAAATTAAATCTATTTGAGTTAAAAGCTTATAGTGACTGTTTGTCATGGAAATTAAATTTTTCATTTGCAAAGCTGCAAGGGCAGTATTTATGCTCCAAAATCACTTAAAGATGAAGTTATTTTTTGCTTGTAGTGTCCCTTTAAATATGTGAATTCTAATAGTTAGATAGTTATATAGGTTGAAAAATTAATGTTTTGCACATTTGTATTGCTGCTGTTAATCCAAAGAAGGTAAAAATACAATTTCAAGTGTTTTCTAATTTTGCCAAAGATTGGGAAATACAATTCTTTGTGATTCCCTGTAAATATTACATCCTTGAAGATTATGTTTAAACACCATCCAGACATTTTTTACAGTATCTACAGAACCTGCTAAAAAATACTTCTCCGGCAGAGAATTCCACATCTTTAAGAACTCTCTTCTCTGTCATTGGTGAAGTCTCATTTCTTCAAGCCTAAACTGATGGTCTCTTGTCCTTTGTACAGTCCCAGTAATCAACTGGCTACCAGAGAGCTGTTTGTACTGGCCCTGTATATACTTGTAATGTTATCATATCCCCCATGAGCCACTTTTCTTTCTAAAGTTAATAATGTCAAGCTTTCTAGCCTTTTTTTTCCCAAGACTAAACTTTTTTATTCCCCTTATTAATTTTGTAGACCACCTGGACACTATTTCTTAGTGCCAGATAATCTTTAAAAAAAAAAAAAAAAAAATAGGTGCTCAAAATGTAATTGATATAAGTCAACTGAAATCTTCATAGAATGCAATTACATGACCATACATACAGTGGCGTACACACAATCCATGGGGCCCTGGTGCGAAAATTTACCCGTGGGCCCTCCCTCACCTTCCCGGTGCTTACTCTGCGGTATGTACGCCAGTGCATGCAGATACACAAACACTTAAAGGACCACTATAGGCACTCAGATCACTTCAGCTCAATGAAGTGGTCTGGGTGCCAGGTCCATCTAGTTTTAACCCTGCAGCTGAAAACATAGCAGTTTCAGCGAAACTGCTATGTTTCACTGAGGGTTAATCCAGCCTCTAGGAGCTGTCTCACTGACAGCCACTAGAGGCGCTTCCCCGATCCTCACTGTGAAAATCAAAGTGAGAAGACGCTGGACGTCTATAGGAAAGCATTGAGTAATGTTTTCCTATGGGCGGTTTGAATGTGCACACGGCTCTTGCCGCTCATGCGCATTCAGAGCTAAGAGGCGGATAGAGGCGGAGAGATCCCCAGCGCCAAGGGAGTCGGGCGCTGGAGAAAAGTAAATGCCGAAGGGGTTTTAACCACACACACACACACTTTCATGAACAGACACATACACACTAACTGACACACACATTTACTGACAGACACACACTCAGTGACAGACATACATACACACTCACTGACAGACAGATACACATACACTCTCACTGACAAACACACACACACTCACTAACAGACACACACAAACTAACACACTCAGTAACAGACACACTCACTGACACACACACACACACTCACTGACACACACACACACACACTCACTGACACAAACTAACACTCACTAGCAGACACACACTCAATAACAGAAACACAAACTAACACACACACTCACTGACACACAAACTAACACACACACACTGACACTCACTAGCAGACACACACTCAATAACAAACACACAAACTAACACACTCAGTAACAGACACGCACACACAGTGACACACTTACTGACACACACACACTAACACACATACACACTCACATTTTTTTTTTTATTTAATCCCCAGCCTCCCTACCTTTGGGAGTGCTGAGGGGATTCCAGATTTTCCTGGGGTCCAGTGGGGCTGCTGGGCGGCCGGTCCTGCAAGCAGCGAGGGAGCACTGATCCTCCTGTTCAGCTCCATCTTGCGCCGTTTATTGATGCCGGAGACGGAATGACGTCATATTCCGGCTCCGGCATCAGTGCGATGCTAACGAGGGAGCTGGGCAGAGAGCGCTCAGGGGAGAATGTTCCCTCGCGCACCCGCCATGTAACGCCACTGCCAGCCCAGGGAGGCCTTGAGGTGGCCAGCTCCTGGGCCCCCCAGGAGAAGAGGCTGGCAAAATGTGGCCACACTGGCGTACATACATACAAACATACACACATACATAAGACCCAGACACTTCCTAATGATGTGAAAACATGTTCTGGGTCTCACGGCACGAGGAGCACATTTTGAAAAGTGCACAGGTACTTGTTCATTTATTATAAATACGCAATGTTTTGATTATATTTGATATTAAGAAAGACTTCAATGGATTCTACAGTGTTAGGAATAAAAGTCTGTATTCCTAACACTATAGTGCCCTCTGGTCCATCCTGCCTTGCTACCTCCAACCCCGCACATAAAAGCTTAAAAACCCTTTAATCACTTTCCCTATTTTCCCTATTTTAGCACTGATGTCCATCAGTGCTGGGCGGCGCTCCGCCTCCTCCGACGGGGGTGGAGGACTAATGCGCATGGGTGGCAAGTGCAAGGACTGCGTTAGGCCCTCCCAAAAGGAAAACGTTGACTCAATGCTTTCCTATACGGATTTCACATGAGGGCATCCAGTGTCATTTAGGCTACCTAGAGTAAACTCCTCGAAGCGCCTGGTAGAGAGCTACTAGAGGCTGTCTTATTCTATCTTAGTACTAACTCAAAAACTGCAATTAGACTAAGGGGACAGAGACACTGCAATGACCTAAAGTGCTCTGGTGTTCCTTTAATTGTTACAGTTGACAATTAGCAAAATGAAACATTCGCTTGTTGGATTACTAAGTGAGAGTGCACCCATTTACTACATGGTTTTTGTATAAACAGTATTGAACAGCACCAAGGCATTTGATTTAAAGTGCCAGTGTAACATTTTTGTTTGTATTTATATAATGAATATATATAATATGTATATATATATATTCCACCAATACGCATTAAGATAATTAGTGCTAGAGCACCGTAAGGGATGAATTTTAGTGTTACTAGTGTTATTGTAGCATGTTAGAGTAATGTAGAATTTAATATGTAGTATAGTACGTACATGTCCCAGTGCTGCCCAAGATTAGTGAAAGCTAAAGTCCCAGAGGGCAGAAGCCACTCAGGAATGTAACTCCCACTAATCTCAAGCAGACTGAGGCATGTTTGTTTCAGTCTGTCTGATATTAAGGCCCCCAGATTGCATGTAGGCGTTGTGTGCATTACCCATTCATTACAGAGAATAGCTGCACAGAGGATGTCAACATTTGTGCAGTATGATATTCTAAAACATGATTTGCCCATTAAAATAATGAAGAGATCATCTAAATTAGTGGGACCAGGCAGAGTGTCTATGCGTCAGCCTTGTTAAGCAATCCCCCTATTTTGTGGATAGACCCACATATTTTCTATTCTAAACACACTTTGTCACCGCCTCTTTGTGTACTACTCTCCACAGGTTTTTGATCGATACCTCTCAATGTTGGGAGGTATGCGACTGTTCAAGGAGTGAGGGAATAAGAAAATCCCCGACTACACATACTTACTGCTCAATGAAGTGGTCTGGGTGCCAGGTCCAGCTAGGATTAACCCTGCAGCTGTAAACAAGCTGTTTACATTAGGGTTAATCCAGCCTCTAGTGGCTGTCTCATTGACAGCCGTTAGAGGCGCTTCCGCACTTCTCACTGACATCCATTGTAAAGCATTGAGAAATGTTTTCCTATGGACTGTGTGAATGTGCGCGCGGCTCTTGCCGAGGATGCGCATTCAGCGCTGACGTCGGAAGAGGGAGGAGATTTCCCCAGCACCGAGGGAGCCAGGCGCTGGAGAAAGGTAAGTGTTTAAACCCTTCAGCCCCCTTCAGCCCGGCGGGAGTGGGACCCTGAGGGTTGTGGGGAACGAAAGACCCTATAGTTCCAGGAAAACGAGTGTGTTTTCCTGGCACTATAGTGCTCCTTTAAGCTATGCTTCCAGGTTAACTATTACATTTAAAATTTACTTTGAATCCTCATTTTAGGGAATAACTGACAACCGATGCAATTGTTTATACAACTCCTGCATTTAATTATAACAGTGAGTAAAAAATACCTTGTGTACATTAAAATAACATACAATCAGGCCTTCTCAGTTTGGCAGATTTGATATAAGAGTTGACAGTGGGGTAGGGACAGCACATGGATTGCCAAAGGAGCAACTCACCACCACATACTATTGGTGTTCCCAAAAAGGTAAATAGCAATGTCAGGGATTGTAGATGGGTGTAGAACATTAAGAGCTTTACAACCTCAGATTAAGGGTCAAGCCAGGTCTGGTACACTGCAATAACGGATGAGATGAACTGAGAGTCAAGGACATGTTGGGTCAGAAACAGAAGGACAGGAGTAACCAATAAACACACTTAAGTGCTGTGAACTCATGAAAAGACAATGGTCTTAATGCAGTAGTTTAAAAAAGGCCAGGCCCCTTGCATCACAACATTATCAATCTTGCACAGACACAGTGCGTAAAACAGCACGCCAATTAATATTTATATAAGGTGCAAAGATAGATTGTGATATTATATAGATAGATGGTGACCAGAATAACTCAGGTTCATTTTGGTTAGAATTATGCTGGCTAGATGGGACAGATTGGCAAGAAATTTACGTGGTTGTGCCAATATGTGCCCGGTCAGATGAGACCAAAGTGAAGATGATGCTGGTGCGTCAATATTGGTAAGTGCTCTCAGAATTTGACGCAGGCACCTGAAGGGCTGGGGATAGCAAAATTTGACACATAAGCATCAGAATCAGAATGTGGCATTTACAATGTTGTACTGATTACTCGGAAATTATTTACATAAAAGGCACTCTTTAAATACTTGTTTTTCACTTGTGATTCATAGACCATGGCACTTAGGCATCTCAACAATTTGTTATTATTATACCACTGTAATGGTAACAAGAATTAACCTTTTTAGTATATCAACATCTATTGCTTCATACAATGATACCTACAGCCAATAGTAGTGGCTACTTGTGTGAAAATTTCTTATTTGATTTAGGAGGCAAAAACAATGGAGAAAATCACTAGCACGGCCCTATTCCATCCCCACCTTCTCTCTTCTGGTTTAATACCATTTAAAGTTGGAAAGTGCATTCCTTATATTAGAATGTAATGACAGGAGGTGCTAGTATCATATTGATGTTGATTTGGGTTCTAGGGAACCAAAATAGGAGGTGGGGTGGGCTAGGCCCTTAGGGAGGTGTCACCAGTGGCATGACCCACGTAGAAGAGAGACAAGCTTCCCATTGACAGGTTGCATGGCAGTCCCCCAGCCTTCGGGACAATTGAGCACTTCTGAAGAGCTACTTGCATGGTCCTAGTACTCGCGATACAACTAATAATGCACTCGCACTGTGCTGGCTGGGTAAAGTTCCCTGGTGCCCCGAGATATTGGACACCAGGGAACTGAAGCATGACAGGACCCCAAAATCGTGACTGTCCTAACAAAAGCAGGGTGTTGAGATGCCTGCAGACACCAGCTATGAGATTGTGTGGTGGGACATGGATCTCCCCTTTGTTGCTATCCTTACAATACTCCATTCATAGGCAGCTGTAATAGGAGGGCCATGCTGCTTTCATGTTCTTCCCCTATTAACAGCGGATGCTGGAAAGTACCAAATAATTTTTAAATATCCTGCACCACATAACACAAGATGGAAGAACATGCAGGTGGACAAAACACAGTTACATAACACATAAGACACGCATATTTAAAGCGTAAAATTATAAAAATCTAGGCACATGCTACACAAACACACAAAACAAGTGTATTACATTACACTAGGCTTTAACTTTGATAACAAATGCCATGTCATGAATGTGTGAACAGACTTCATATGGTGGATTTATTGTATAAAAGTATGCTTGTGGGTCTATTTCTGTTTATGCAATGTTCCTCTAAAAATTGATGTTCTGAAAGAAGTCACAAAAAATAAGATTGTACGTTGCATTTCATGGAGATTTAAATATTGAATTTTTGCGGTTGTGGAATCAAGCGCATATTTACCAAAAATGGTGGTGTGCTGGAATTTCTGTGTTTTATTATTAAAATACAATCTTGTATGATTCCAAACTTCTTCATCCTGTTAATTGCATGCTTCCAAATTAGACCAGATGACCCCCTGGAGAGACCAGCTTTCAATGGATAATTGTAGATTCATCCTCACTCAGTTAATAGATGGTAGAAAGTAATGAAAGTTGTGCCATGAAGCCAACTGCAGTAAAGACAGGCTGTCTGTCCTTGGGTTGAGGTACAACTAATGCTCCTTATTTAGTTAGAAGCTGCCTGTCACATCAATTTTTATCACAACCTACACCATTTGTACAAGTATGCTATAATATAATATAAATGTACACAATGGTATAAATAAAATTCACATTGTCCTATCCCACTGGTAAGATAAAGTGAACTAAAAAACTCAGCATACCATATAGATGACATGTCCATGCTTAAACAGTACAAACATGAAAACACACACAATAGATCTTAGCACCGAGAAATTGATCATCATGCAATACAAATGTTTCCGTTTTGTTCTGTAAACAGCTAGTAGCTTGAACATATTTGACATGATGCCAAGTGTTTATCTCAATGTTCAGTCTGGGACTTTTTGTCTTTGTTTCTTGCTGATGTTCTCCAATTATTTCTAACTTGGACCATTGCTTTACTCTATCATCCAAAACAAGGTTCTTCGTCAGCTGTCCCTCTGCCAAGGAATATTTCAGCCAGTTCAAGCATATGGAAGATCCGCTGGAGATGGAAGGCAGCGTACAGTTGCGTAAGCATGGCCGACGAGTGATGGGTGCAGTCAACAGTGTTGTGGAAAACCTAGAAGATGCAGAAAAGCTGACTACAGTCCTATCAATTGTGGGGAAAAGCCACGCACTGAAGCATAAAGTGGATCCTGTGTATTTCAAGGTGAGGTAACAAAAAGGTCTAAGCAATAGTTCCACTGGAACAGTTCTACCTCTACTTTTAAAAAAGTAATTATTTTCTCCAACCATTATTTTGTTGTATATTGTCATTTTGTAATGTCACCTTACAATGTCCATTACAAGCAGTGGATTAGCCATCTTGTGTTAGCCTCTGCCACTGATGGTGCCAGCAGTGAAATTCCACAATTCCATCATCTTGTGCTTATAAATGGTCAATGATTTGTAAATACACCTTATTATGTCATAATAAAATTTCCTGTTTCAATATGGCAATTCTCATCTTGAATGATGTGGCTTGGATAGACCACGACATACAGGTTGATGTTAACATTTGATTGCTTTGGCTACCTCCATTAGATCCTGACTGGGGTGATGCTTGAGGTGATTGCAGAATACTACGCCAAAGAATTCACCCCTGAAGTACAGCTAGCTTGGAACAAAGTACGAAACAACATTTACACTCAAGTACAGGCAACATACAAGGAGACGGGCTGGAAGCAGTAAATCCATGTGAGCCAACTAATCACCAAGAGAGAACCGAGCCAAGGACTTCAGATCACCCCAACCTGGGGCAGTTGGAGTGCAGGGTGGGAAAGGGTGGGTGGGAAATCGGGTGGGAGGGCATTTAACCTCTTTGCTGCAATATTGGACTACAGCTTATCTGCCAAGGGTTTCTCATATGATTAAAATAGTACAGGCTGATAACTGCTAAAACCAGTGTGGGGTAGGTTTTTTTCAAAATTATGGTAAAGTGTAGTAGATTTGGTATAGGTGAATACATTCCCTTTTCCCTTTCATGAACTATCCAGGAACATTCAGAACAAACACGAGTGAACTGAATTAGCGGGTGGAAATCAAAAAGGATATGATATGAAAGGAGACTGAAATGCCAAAACATTTTGCAACCCCTGCCACGCACTGATTTTAGGGAATTTATATATATGGAAGAAATATCTAGCATGTTAAGTAAAATCATTCTCAGACTGATCCTGCCAAACTCCTGTCTGTTCTAAATTTTCAGGCATGAGAAACAGATGATGCTTTTCAAGAATCACAATTGTAACCTCTTAAAAATGAAAAGGTTAAGAATCATTCTGATGCAGACAAACCCACTCCAAAATCTCACACTCATGTTTGGCAAGCAGTTGTGTATGGGGAACATAGCCCACTCCCAAGAATCTTCTCATTGACGGGTGTACCTTAAAAAAAAGAGAAAGTTGTTGCATCGTGATTGGTATTAAAAAGGTTCATTACCTCCTGTTTGCAATTATTTTATCCACAGGCGTTGAGAAATTTCAGTGGGACCAAATGTGAATGGAAATATACATTAAAGTCTATTGAGAGGAAACAGAGAAATATATATTGATTTATGACAAAGGATTTGGACATGAGATATATATATATATATATGTGTCAAATTAATGTCACATTTTCTGTATGAAATATAATCTGATGCTTTGCATCTGCGGCGATGAAGTGGCAAACCCACACCTGTAATTCTGGATACAGAAGTTCAAAGAGAATAAGACTGGAAGAGAATTAGATTGTTTTATTACATTTCGTGGGTGGAATGGAATTAGGTTGTGGGTGGGTGAGAGGATTTTGAAATAGACCCAGCTGTATACACCCCTGGGCTGTGTGATGTTGTGTCATAATTTTGTCTGTCTTTATACTGTTATGTTTTACTGTGATCTATAAATAAACACATACCTATTGGAGCTGTAATATGATATGTGTCAGAACGTGTACACAAGGTGGAAAATCTATAGCTGAAGGGGGACATCACAAGACTGAAATTCAAGGTAACCCATGTTGTCTAATAAATAATATGATGTACAATCAGAAGCCTATTTTATTTGACATTTTAGATCATGAGATGAATATATAAACCATGCATGGTTGCCAATTCATACTTAAAATTTTGCACAAAGCTGGCTATGTTTGAATTGTGCTTCTTGGCAACACTGGACGTCAGGGAAGACATCAATTTATTAATCACGGTGGTTTCCATTAGATTCCCTACCTCGATTAATTAATTGATTTGCCGCCACGAGAAAATAGATGCTGCAATCTGCCAGGCTGCACAAAAAAATATGAATCAATAGTGTGAACGTTGTATCACAATATCACAGAGAAGAGTTGGCCAACGTGAAAGGAAATTTTTACCAGTATTTTCGTTTGTCTGTTTTAAGTTAATTATCAGGGAATGTAGCTAATATTTAGCAATATCTAGCCTATATATTGTGGTAGACTTTATTTCTAAATAGGTCAATGTATTTAAGATCTTTCTAAATACAACATAATGTACAAAATGTAATTTGTTATATTAATCCCATCCTGGGAATAAATCTGACTCTATGTCCAACGTCTACATTTTCTAAAACTGGTTACAAAATGTAAAACACAAATTGACCAGCCAGTTAGCAAGACTAGGTTATGGCATGATGTTGTTTAATGGTATAAGTACATACAACAGGAAAAGAAAATGTGAAAAAAAAGTGTTAAAATATCTTAACTGCTGTATAATTTACCTTTGAAAGTTTCATGCAAGGAATTAGTACATATTCGGTAAAGCATTTAGCACATGCATTTAGTAAACATTTAATAAAGTATCTAATACTTAAAATCAGCAGTAATAGAGACTCAACTCTGATGTAGATTATGTGAAATTTTGTTGATATCCACAAATGCTATTATGTGGGTAAGACAGTATATGTTATTTTATATAATATTATTATATAGTATTATAATATATAGGCTGATCGTATTCTGCCATGCTGCACAATTGGGGTATAAAATAAAACTAAACATTATGAGCAACTAGCCTGAGTAAAGAAGAAACAGTAGCTGAGAGGGTCTAACTCAAAAAGTCAAATGCAATGCAGACGTTCTATAATACCTTGAAGTTCTTCTGAAGGACAAGTGCATATTTTGATTTTATATACCCACAATGGTCAGAGAACCCATTGGTTATTTATACTCCTTATTTATGGTTTTACATTTATGAAGTCACCAGTGAGTCCAGGTACAGTGCATGCATAATGTTACACCATAATATATGTACAACCCAAAAATATCGGAGCCTGTCTCCACATATTTTCATTCTGGACGTTGCACCTCTTAAGATGCCCTCCCACAGTCTGCAAGACTTGAAATAAATATAAAATTAAACCCAAAATTGGGTTTCAGATTTGTGGTTGGTTTTTGCATGCCCTTGAATGGGCATTATTGGGCACAAGTATTTTGTTTCACTGTATAGGACTCGGGGGAGACAATCTTCAGCAATCCAGATGGTGTGGACTACATCTTCCTTGATGCTTTGCCAGCACTATGGCTGTAAAAACATTATGGGAGATGCAGTCCACAACATCTGGAGTGCCGAAGGTTGCCTACTCATATAGGTTATGTTGACGCATCAATTTCTCATTTAAAATTGGTTTTGGTTTGCACTGTTTTATCTTCAAACAAGTAGATAATATTACAAACCTGTTATATGGGGTACACATACGCAGACAGCTGGACCATGTTGTCTATAGAAGACTTGTTTATGACTTACTATAATGACATGAATAATGATTTAGATTTATAAAATAGTGGTCAACCAACCCAAAAGGTCCCAGAAGGTCCAATATAAATAACTTGCTCTACAGCAAAGTGTTGATCTCTGGAAACCTGATAAACCTTTATATCATTTCTCTTGGCAATATTACTAACCTTTCACTGCCAGGATAAGCCTGCAGGCAGGCAATGGGTTAAGACATCATATTCTGTGCTTTGTGCGTGGGTGTTAGCTGGTGGTGCAGAACCCTAGGTGACAAGGAGCATCTGTAAGCTGTCACATCCATAGATCCAGAGAGAAGAGGTCACAAAACAGTAATAACCCACTCTCCCTCCCTTCCTCTCTCACACGCATGGAAGAGCAGGGAGCCAGCTAAAGTAACAGCTGGGAGGAAGCTTGGGACCATCAGAGACCTGCAGGACATTGCACATCCAACCATATGACAGCTGCAGAGCATTATTCTGACAATTGTGCAAGATCTGTAAAGCCAACAATAGGACCTGTAATAAACACCACACCAAAAATAAAATCTGCACCTGGTAGCAAAAAAGATTATGTAGAATAGCGAAAATACCTTGTTTTTGCAAACTGAAAAAGATAACAAGATGTATGAGATCTACAGAATTGGATAGATCAACGCAGAACAGTATGAATAGAATTTACAGATTGTGGTACAGCAATCAGTGAATTAGTGATGTAATGAGACTCTGAGATTAAAAGAGAATGGAAAAAATAGGATTTTTCAAATCCCTCCTTACATAGTACTGCAGGGGAGTAAGAGGAGATGGGTGAAAAAGTTAGGAGATGTCGGGACGCTTCGATAAATCCTGCATTCATAGGCACTTTCCCATGGAATGATACTGCAAATGGAAATTATTAGGTTCTGTACAGCTATGGATGCAAATACATTATAGCTGCCTATTGCTGTACAGAATTTAATTTCTCATACCCACAACCATACCTGCAGAGGATTGACAGCCTGAATTCCTGCCCCAAGACGGCATAACAGAAATAAGAAAAATGATCCTAGAAAAGCTAGTAGTCCTTGACCAGTGGACAAGACTACCAAAGATCACTGGAAAACTGCCTCCACAGCGCATGCTAGCTGCAGTTAGTGACATGCTGTCCACAATCCCAACCTGCACCATCACAGAGACATTAGTGGTTCTCCAAATGCTTGACTACAAAATTAGGCTCAAAGAGAAGCAATGTCCATCAAACTATGACTGGAAGCCAAGATAAAGACTATCAACACCAACTACTGGTAGACCACACAGTCACAATGCATTCTAAAACCAGACAAATCAATCTGTGCACAGCCTGGATTGACTACAAGAAAGTCTATGATACAGTGCCACACAGATGGTGCAAGTTTAACAAGACAATAAGAGCCCTCATCAAGAACAAGGTGGATGACAACTCTAGAAGCCAATTACAGAACAAAAGTGAACATCAAATGTGGCATATAACTAGGTGATGTGCTTTTCCCAATGCTGTTCTGCATAGGCCTCAATCCCCTCAGCCAGATCATCAAGAAGAGTGGATACAGAAACAGGTTCAAGAGCTACCATCAGCCACGTACTCTACATGGACAGCATCAAGCCGTATGCTAAGAATGAGTGTGACATTGATTCACTGATCCACCTAACCAGGATATACAGCAAGGACATCGGAATGTCTTTTGGACTAGAAAAGTGTGGGCAGATGATAGCAAAAAGAGGAAAAATGATCAGGACAGAAGGTGTCCAAGAACCAGAAGGTCAAATAGGAGATGTAGAGGACAGCTACAAGTACCTGTGGATAACACATGACAACCATGAGGAAGAGGCAAGGAGGATAGAAACATCCAAGTACTTCCAGAGAGCCAGACAGGCCCTGAAATCCCAGCTCAATGGCAAGAACAAGATCCAAGCCATCAACACATATGCCCTACCAGTCATCAGGTTCCCAGCTGGAATAGTAACCTGGCCAAGAAAAGAACTAGTCACCTTCGATGTCAAGACCCAGAAACTATTCACTATGAATGGATTCCACCTGAAATCCAGCACCCAGAGACTGTATACCATCCAGAAGAAAGGAGGTTGGGGCCTGATGTGTCAAGGCCACAGTCCTGGGTGAAACACAGAGCATTTACAAGTACATCACGAAGATGGCTCCCAAAGTTGGGGTGTACCACTGACAGAGAGTGGATGTGGCAAATATGGCAAAATCCTACCAGTGGTTGGAAAAGTAAGGACTGAAAGACAGGAGTGAGGCACTAATACTAGCAGCACAGGGATAGGCACTCAGCACCAGATCAATAGAAGCATAAGTCTACAACACCAGGCAAGACCCAAGGTGCAGACTATGCAAAGAGACCTCTGAGACAGTTCAGCACATAGTAGCAGTGTGCAAAATGTTAGTGGGAACAGCATACACTGAGAGGCTGGGATTGTGTACCAAAACATGTGCACATAATATGGAATGAACTTGCCAGATGGGAGATACCACCAAGGGCAGTTGAGAATGACAGGGATAAGATCCTATGGGACTTCCAGATCCAAATAGACAAGCAAGTGCTGGCCAACAAACCTAAAGAATCCAAGGGAACCTATAGGGAAAAAGGTATTTAATCTCCAGCTGATTTTGAACGTTTTCCCACTGACAAAGAAATAGGCAGTATTTAATTTGAATGGTAGGTGTATTTTAACAGTGAAAGACAGAATAACAACAACAAAAAATCCAGAAAAAACACATGCCAAAAAAAGTTAAAAATTGATTTGCATTTCAATGAGTAAAATAAATATTTGAGTGCTCCTAATCTCAGTTTGTAACCTAGGAGCCAGAAATCTTGCTGATTGATAGGGGATCAAATACTTATTTCACTCATTGACATGCAAATCAATGTATAACGTTTTTGACATGCATTTTTTTGAATTTTTTTTTTGTTATTCTGTCTCTCACTGTTAAAATACATCTACCATTAACATTATAGACTTATCATTTCTCTGTCAGTGGACAAATGTTCAAAATCAGCAGGGGATCAAATACTTTTTTCCCCTCACTGTGTGTGTGTATATATATATATATATATATATATATATATATAAAATGCACTCACCTATCCACTAAACAGCAACTTTAATGTTGAAAGATTTTTTTATTTTTTATTTATTTTTTAAACACCTAATCTAGGCAAAAATAATGGGGATTTAGTTACATTATATGATCATACATTGCATAAGCCTGCCACAACGTCAATGTACCCCATCTTTGGCAGGTCCTACTCTAACAGCCTAATGTCTGCTCTTATGAGATTAACCACTTACTTGGGGAAAAAATTCCATCTGGGGCTCTCTGCAGTACAAGGCTAAATAGGGCCCTGGGATGAGGCTCCTGTGACAGGAAGGGGTGCAAAACCAAGGAGTTGGCTAGACTCCCAAATATATATATATGAAACAAGGGGGTGTGGCTGCACTCACCTGAGCATGCATAAATGGGGTGCTGCTGAAGGCCAAATTATACAATACACAAGATCCAGCATAGTACTGCAGAGAGCCCCAGATGGAATTTTTTCCCCAAGTAAGTGGGTTAATCTCATAAGAGCAGACATTAGGCTGTTAGAAAAGTGGCTGGGGATTTCCCCTTCAGGAATCAATGCTTAGGGCACTTCAATCAAGGTGTAAGCTGATTCAATTGGAACTCCAAGCAATTTGCAAAGTTCTGAGACATTTTCCACCCCAACAGGACAAATAAATTCTTATCAAAACAGAGGCAGCATGCATAAACTGCCGGGGGAGTACAAGAAGCAACATTCTGTTGGCAGAAACTATTCTAGTCATGTTTTGGGCAGAAAATAATGTACAGAGTATCAAAGCAGTCTATCTCCCAGGAATAAATAAGGAAGCAGACTATATGAGTTGATATATAGGGTATATATATATATATATATATATATATATATATATCTGCATATTTTGAATGCTTTATTTGGACAGTTCAATATCATAGAAGTATTGTTTGAACTGTTAGAGTAGGTCCTGCCAAAGATGGGGTACATTGACGTTGTGGCAGGCTTATGCAATGTATGATCATATGATGTAACTAAACCCTCATTATTTTTGCCTAGATTAGGTGTTTTTAAAAAAACAAACAAATAAATAAAATCTTTGAACATTGAAGTTGCTGTTTAGTGCTTAGGTGAGTGCGCTGGATCTTGTGTATTGTATAATTTGGCCCCCAGCAGCACCCCATTTATGCATGTTCAGGTGAGTGCAGCCACACCCCCTTGTTATATATATATATATATATATATATATATATATATATATATATAAAATACCTTGCACTCCTACTCACTGACTTCTGACCCTGTGCTCGATTGCTCTTTACATATAGAACAGGAAAATCAGCACTCCCAGGTAATTCACAAATAACTCATTTACTTGAAAAAGTGTAGAAAAATGTCAACATTCCAGTTCCTCATGGGAACTTTCATCAGGACAAGGTGTTTGTCCTTATGAAAGTTCCCATGTGGAACTGAAACGTTTTTCAACCCATGGAGGTCTGGATTTGGAGTCACACTCAAAATTAAAGTGGAAAAACACACTACAGGCTGATCCAACTTTGATGTAATGTCCTTAAACAAGTCAAAATGAGGCTCAGTAGTGTGTGTGGCCTCCACGTGCCTGTATGACCTCCCTACAACGCCTGTGCATGCTCCTAATGAGCTGGCGTATGGTCTCCTGAGGGATCTCCTCACAGACCTGGACTAAAGCATCTGCCAACTCCTGGATAGTCTGTGGTGCAATGTGACGTTGGTGGATGGAGAGAAACATGATGTCCCAGATGTGTTCAATTGGATTCAGGTCTGGGGAACGGGAGGGCCAGTCCATAGCATCAATGCCTTTGTCTTGCAGGAACTGCTGACACACTCCAGCCACATGAGGTCTTGCATTAGGAGGAACCCAGGGCCAACCGCACCAGCATATGGTCTCACAAGGGGTCTGAGGATCTCATCTCGGTACCTAATGGCAGTCAGGCTACCTCTGGCGAGCACATGGAGGGCTGTGCAGCCCCCCAAAGAAATGCCACCCTACACTATTACTGACCCACTGCCAAACTGGTCATGCTGGAGGATGTAGCAGCCAGCAGAACGTTCTCCACGGCATCTCCAGACTCTGTCACGTCTGTCACATGTGCTTAGTGTGAACCTGCTTTCATCTGTGAAGAGCACAAGGTGCCAGTGGCGAATTTGCCAATATTGGTGTTCTCTGGCAAATGCCAAATGTCCTGCACGGTGTTGGGTTGAAAGCACAACCCCCACCTGTGGACGTCGGGCCCTCATACCACCCTCATGGAGTCTGTTTCTGACCGTTTGAACAGACACATGCACATTTGTGGCCTGCTGGAGGTCATTTTGCAGGGCTCTGGCAGTACTCTTCCTGTTCCTCCTTGCACAAAGGCGGAGGTAGCGGTCCTGCTGTTGGGTTGTTGCCCTCCTACGGCCTCCTCCATGTCTCCTGATGTACTGGCCTGTCTCCTGGTAGCGCCTCCATGCTCTGGACACTACGCTGACAGACACAGCAAACCTTCTTGCCACAGCTCGCATTGATGTGCCATCCTGGATGAGCTGCACTACCTGAGCCACTTGTGTGGGTTGTAGACTCTGTCTCATGCTACCACTAGAGTGAAAGCACCGCCAGCATTCAAAAGTGACCAAAACATCAACCAGGAAGCATAGGAACTGAGAAGTGGTCTGTGGTCACCACCTGCAGAACAACTCCTTTATTGGGGGTGTCTTGCTAATTTCCACCTGTTGTCTATCCCATTTGCACAACAGCATGTGAAATTGATTGTCACTCAGTGTTGTTTCCTAAGTGGACGGTTTGAGATCACTGATGTGTGATTGACTTGGAGTTACATTGTGTTCCCTTTATTTTTTTGAGCAGTGTGTGTGTGTGTGTGTGTGTGTGTGTATATATATCTATCTATATATATATATATATATAGATAGATATATATACACACACACACACATATACATACATACATACATACACACACACACACACACACACACACACTGGTTAGCTCAGTGGTGTGGCAAACTCACCCATTTAAGGGAGTTTTCCATGAGTTTTTGGAGGGGCCTGCTTGCCCGCCTCCTGCCTCATGACTATGGCCCTGGGGTACATGGCCCTTTAAGAAACTTATTTGGGCATATTGGTTTTATATTGCGCTAGTGCTGGCCCTTTAAGAACCATCTGGGGACAATGCCCCTATAAGACTGTGTCCCCAGTCCCCTATAATACTTTGTTTGTGCCCATTTCCCACTTGGTTCAGTAAATGGGGCTTACTGAAACAAGTACTGTACAGGCGGACCACCCAGAAGTGGAAGTGTGCAGGCAATTTACCTCCCAGGCTGGGTGGCCGCTGTTCGTACAAACAAACACGTGGTGGTGGCCATCTTTATTCATTCGAACGCGGTCAGCGGTGTGTGCAATCAAATCTATGGAACTGTTTTTGGCTACCCAATTGCACGAACACTGCTGATCCGTACCTTCTACTCCACTTCGACTCTGCGGCTGGAGACTAAGTCCAGTTCGGCGATTCATTTTTTCAGTGTAAAATAGACCGACCGCACAGCCCAAATCTATGGAACTGTTTTGGGCAGGAAAATGTGCTTGTGGTTGGTCACAAAGGACTTCCAGCTAACTTTTTAACCCCTGAACCGATTGCCCTGATTTTTGAGTATGTTTATATATTGAGTATGCTGATTCTGAAAATGTATGTTTTATGTGAATGGCATGTATATTTTGAAACTTATTAATATTGTGTAAAAACTGTATATTTTCTGCCTGTGATAATTAAGTTAGTCTATTGTGTTGAGATAATTGTATCACAGGCAGACGGGAGGATTTTGTGGGAATAAATGGGAGTGTTTTACTATATGTTATGTGTTTGATTGGTTGTTCTTCAAAACTCTGTGGGCAGTACTATGTGTGTAAAATGTGCATAAAAGCAGAGTGTTTAATTTAAACTTCAGTTCTACTTCACCCTCAAATTGGAGTGCCGTCTCTTATTGGGGGAATCTGCTACAAGGGATTGGTATGCTAGTCATACTCTCTTGCTATATCAATACTAAGCTCTTGTAAGAGCTTGTTCCTGTCTTGCTTTCTGAAGGAGTCTACTGTGGTTATGGTGTCGGCTGGAGTGCTTGGAGCACTCACGAAGCGCTGGGAGCATCCTTCAACGGAGGCCCAGCACACAGCTTTTACTCTCTTCTAATAACTCTTGCGAGACCCGGTTACCATGGCAATGCTCCGCGGGTCTTGCGAGAGTTTTTAGAAGAGAGGAGAAGAGAAGAGTAAAGGCAGTGTGCTGGGGCCCCTCTGGACACAGGTAAGCAGGGAGGGGGGAGAAACATTGAATTAATTTAATATACACTAACACAACACACACACTGCATACACAACACAACACACACACTGCATACACAACACACATACTACATACACTAACACTAACACAACACTCTGCATACACTAACACAACACACTGCATACACTAACACAACACACACTGCATACACTAACACAACACATACTCTGCATACACTAACACAACACACACTCTGCATACACTAATACAACACACACTGCATACACTAATACAACACACACACTTAATACACTAATACAACATACACTCTGCATATACTACACATTAACACTCTGCATTCACTACACTAACACACACTCTGCATCCGCTACACACTAACACACTCTCTGCATTCACCACACATTAACACACTCTGCATTAACTACACTAACACACACTCTGCATCCGCTACACACTAACACACTCTCTGCATTCACTACACATTAGCACACACTCTGCATTCACTACACATTTACACATGCTCTGCATTCACTGCACTAACACACACTACATTCATTACACTGACACACTCTGCATTCACTACACACTAACACACACTCTGCATTCATTTCACACTAACACACACTCTGCATTCACTAAACTGTGCACACACTCTGGATTCACTATACTGACACACACTCTGCATTCACTACACTAACATACACTCTGCATTAACTGTACACACAGCATCCACTACACAAACATCCTGTATTCACAGTACACACACTACATCCACCACAAATTGAAACACTCTGCATTCACTATACACAGACACTGCATCTAATACACACACTACATCCACTACAGACACTGCATCCACTAAACACATTTCATCTAGTACATACAAACACTATATCCACTACACAAACACACACTACATCACTGTACACACACTACGTCCACTACTCAAACACACTCTGCGTTCACTATACACACTGCACCCGCAACACAAACACACACTCTGCATTCTCTGCACAAACAGTATCTAATACACACAAACACTACATCCATTACATACATTCTAATTCACCTCCAGTATACACACCACATTCAGTCCTGCATCATTGTCAGTGGACTAGGTAGGGCGTGGGCGGGCCCGGGATGGAGGAAGGGGGGAGGGGGACCCAGACCTTGTGCTTTGTCAGGGGCCCCAAAATTTCTGATGCAGCCCTGCAACAGGGGTACCTAGTCAGGGTGCCAGGTGATCTGTTACAAGTGGTAATGTCACTGCTCTAAATCCCAGTCAGATCACCTCTGCTGTAAGTCTCCTAACGATATGTCCTGTCACAACTGGGACTACTACCACCTTTGCTTTCTAGCTCTTCTTTCAGTCATTGGTACGTGTCCATCTTCTCATGTTTTCCTTTTTGATATTATGGTCACTGGGTATTGCCACACCCACAACCACTGCAGTCTTCTGTTCCTTGTCTACCACCATATGTGGCTGATTGGCCAATACCTGCTTGATAAAGGCCTCTCTGTAGGCCGAAGGTTGCACTTTTTGTTCCAATAAACCTGCCTTCCTGCAGCAATCCTGAGTGCCTGGACCTAATTTATTTTAAATACCTGCTTATCTGTCTGGAAGTCAGGATCTTAGTTTTGTCATACCCAGTGGTATTTTGTGGTTTTGTGGTTCAGGCACTACCCCTCCACCTTCTAAAATTATCTGTTTAAAACCAACAAGCTATTTGCTTGACAGACACACACCCTTACCGATGCATACACTGACATACATTCCCTGACAGATACAGTCATTGTCATACACACTGTTTAACCAGCATTCAGTTACACACACACACAGACACTCACTGACAGACACATTCACTGACAGACACACATACTCTAACAGGCATACAGACTAGCTAACAGACATACACATTCACTGTGATACACACTCTTAGTGACAGACACGCATAGACACCAACAGACACACTCTCCGTACCAGACACACACACACTCAGTGACAGACAGACACACTGACAGACATACATACACTCTCACTGACAAACACGTACACTCATTAACAGATACACATACACACACACTCATTAACAGATATACATGCACACTCACTAACAGACGCACACACACTATCACTGACAAACACACTCATTAACAGATACACATACACACTCACTAACAGACGCACACACACTATCACTGACAAACACACTCATTAACAGATACACATACACACTCACTAACAGACGCACATACACACACAATTTTTTTGCCGCTCCCCTGATAGTGCTACCCAAGGCAAATGCCTTGTCAGCCTCGCTGGTCATACATCTGGGCACACTCAATGGTTTGTTAATAACAGGCACTCTTTTATTTGGAGTTCAGAGGAAAAGACAATGTTTCGGCACTATCCTGTGCCTTTGTCAAGTCTTGCCTGTCTGTTGTTAAGAAACCATTGTGTGTGCCAGACATGTTTTTGATCCAGTTGGATTGTTTGGGAGTTGGCCCTATTGGTTTGGAGCACCCTGATGGGAGTATTCTCATTGTGATTGTTTGCATTGCAAATATCTGTTGGATTGTCTTGGAGGCCACTCTGCACTGTCTGCACCTTGGATCCTGTCTTGTGTGATAGTCTTTTTTCTGATATTAAGTGCCTGTTCCTGAGCGGCTAGGATTAGTGTCAGTCCTGCTTTTTCCAACAACTGTTTGGATTTTGTAGTGTGAGCAACATACACTATACAGCAATAATACACCCCATGGTGAGGTTGTCTTGCCATGAAACCTTCTCTTTTTCTGCATCTTCTATTTGTTGTTGTCTCCAGCATTTCCTTAGCAATTCCTCTTTCTGAGACATTGTCGTGATGTACTTGTGGATTCTCTGTATTTATTTAAGAACTGTGGCCTTGACACTCATCAGGTCCAACCTCCTTCCTTCTAGGTAGTGTACAGTCCGTGGGTGCTGTATTTTCCTCCATTCATGGTGAATAGTTTCTGGGGCTTGATATCCATTTGTATCCAGCTCTTCTCTTGGCCTCGTTATTATTCCAGATGGGTACCTGATGACTGGGAGTGTGTTTGTGTTGATGGCATGGATATGTGCTTACCATTGACCTGTCTGACTCTCTGGAGGTAATTAGAAGTTTCAGTCTTTCTTGCTCTTCCTCATGGTTGCCATGTGTTAGTGGTATCCCCAGGTATATTGATCTCGGCTTTCCTTGACTATTCTCCATTCTGTTATCCTGTGACTCGGCTGTTGGTTTTTCGCTTTTCTGATTTCTGGCTTCCCTGACTCCGCTTGTGCCTAACCATTCTTTTTCTAACACGTCTAACACGGACAATCTAAGGACCAGTACACGTTGCATAATCTATTATCATATACACACTGCGTGTTGGGTCACTAGGTATCGTGACAAAGTCCCACTGGTTCTTGGCATACAGCTTGATGTTGTCCATGTAGAGTAGGTGATTTGTGTTGGCTCCACTCTTGAACCTATATCTGTATCTACTCTCCATGATGATCTGGCTGAGATGGTTGTGGTCCATGTAGAACCGCATTGGGGATAGAGCATCACCTTGGTATATGCTGTATTTTATGTTCACTTATATATAATTGTCCTGGGAGTGGCTTCTAGAGTTCTCCACTTGCCCATCAATTTCTTGATGAAGGCTCTTGTTGACTTT